TTTCATAAAGAGGTCCATGTAAAAAGGCATTAGACACATCTAATTGAAATGTAGTCTATTGGTGAGTTAAAACCACTATCAAGAGAATGCAAATTGTAGGAAATTAGGATATATGACTAAAAGTTTCAGAGTAGTCTAAGCCATGTTCTTGCTTAAAGTCTTGAGAAACAAAGTGAGCCTTGTATATAGCGAGCTATGAACCCATATGAATTATATTTAGTTTTGAATAACCATTTATAACCCAATGTGTTGTGAATAAATTTGGGTGGAACTAAGACCCATGTTCCTTAATGCTTCAACTTCGTTGCTCATGGCTTCTCTCCAAGCCGAGTATTGGACAGCTTGATTAAAGCTAGTAGGACCAGTTGGAGTTACTGTATGTTGCAGGTCAAGAATTTTTCTCGATTTTAGTTTGCTTATTTTTGCTCTTGTGATCATGGTATGCCTAGGAGGGTTGGATGAAGGAGTGGTTGTTGAGGGGGAGATTGAGTTGTAGAAAAAGTGGAATTTGGATGGTCCACTTTAGGAGTAGAGCTGGTGTAGGTATGTGGATCGATAAAAGTAGTGGAATGTTGATTAGTGGAGAAGGATGAAACTGGGATTAAGGTGGATCATATGAGATGAGGTGGTTTTAATTATGATTATGAATGTTGTGTAACTCACAAAACACAAATTTAAGTATTTGTGTCAAGCACTTAATATTTCCATTCTCACTCCTTTGTTACCCACATTTAGTGTTAAAAATTTAAATTTCTATTAAATACCTTTAACCAAATCCTTAATATTAATATTAAAAATATAATTATATATGATTGTATGGTATGATTTTAATCATGCATTATGATTAATGTATCATATCTAATCAGCCCTTATTTCCAACAATTAAACTAAATTAATAATTATTTATAAAAAAAAATTTAGATTTGTAGTTTTCTAAAATTTTCGTGGTAGTAGAGAAATATAAAGTTTAACATCTTAGCATTGTACGAAGATCCAACATGTAATAAGATAAGAGAGAGAGTGTAGAATCCAGAAGAAACACCAAAATTTTTTAAGAGAAAAACCCTTAAAAGGGTAAAAACTATGGGGCCTGGCCTAGTTTGAATGAATCCACTATTTTTTGCAGTCGATTAAAAATGATGCCCTTCCTTGGAGGGAAGGCCTTGGCTTGATGTAAAAATTATGCACCATATAAAGTGCATTACATGATGAAACTTGAAAGAATTGCTATTGATATATTTATTTGGTCGGCAGAACCATAGTCGGTAGGCAAAAAAGTTTAAAAAGATCTAAGTCCTGTGATGGTTGTTAAAGGGGCTGCAATCTGCGGGCAACAATGGTCAGAATAGATTATTGTATGGTGATAGATGTCGGATGTCCGGTGTCGGGTAGAAATCCGGCAATGGGCTGAAGTCGGATATTGGGTATAAGTCCGATGAAAGTTTGACATCGGGTAGAAGTCTAATAAATAGTGTAAGTCCGACGTCGAGTAAAAATCTGGTGAAATGAAGAAGTCAAGTGTCATGTAAAAGTTTGATGAAAGTCCAGCGATAGAGAGAAGTCTGTGATGGGTGGATGTCCAGCGTAGGGTAGAAATTCTGTAATGGGCGGAAGTCTGGCGTCGAGTAGAAGTCAAATAACTAGCCGAAGTCTGACTTTAGGTAGAAGTTTAATGAAAGTCCAGTGACAAAATGGAGTTCAACAACAAGTATAAGTCGGACGTTGGGTAAAAATTTGGTGATAGGTGGAATTCTGGCATTAGGTAAAAATACTGAGATGGGAAGAAGTCCAGCATCGGGTAGAAATCCGATGACGGGCAGAAGTATGAAATTGAGTAAAAGTTTGGCGATGAGCAATAGTGCAAAATCGGGTAAAAATTCAGAGACAGGGAAAAGCCCGACATTAAATAGAAGTCCATTGAAAGTATGGGGTCTAGCAAACCTCCGAAGATGGGAGGAACTCTGGCATTATATAAAAGTCTGATGACGGGAGGAAATTCATCGATGGAAAGAAGTCCAATGAAATGTGAAAGTTTAGCATCAAGTTGAAGTCCAATGAAAGTTCGATAATGGATTGAAGTCTGATGAATGTCCGGTTACAGACTAAAGTCCGAAGATGGGTGGAAATTCAACATATGTTAGAAATTCAGTGATTGGCAGAAGTCTGAGAAAGGGAGGAAATCTGACATTAGGTAGAAATTCGTCAATGGGTAGAAGTCCAGCATCGGGTAGAAATTTGACTACAAGTAGAACTCTGGTGTTTGGTAAAAATATGGCGACGGGTGGATGTCCGACATAAGGTAGAAGTCCGACGAAAGTTTGGCGATGGGAACAAGTCTAATGACAGGAGGAAGTCTGACATCGGGTAAAAATTCGACGCTGGGAAGAAGTTTATTGTCGTTGAGTGGCTAGGTGGTAGTTAAGGAGGATTATGTGGCAAGAGATCTATTTCTTCTTTTCCTTCTCTTTCCTCTCTTTTTCCTTGGCCCCCTTTTCTCCTTCCCCTTCCATGAGGAGTGAGGGGGTTATTTATAGTTTTCTAAAAGTGGCATGTCTAGTAAATAAGAGGGAGATCAATGGGAATTTGGAGTAGTTTGCATGTACGACCGATGTTGATTCTCTTGTCTGTGGTCTGTTCGTTGGGCATTTGAATGTCTTTATGATATAAAAATTTGGTGATCTTAATCTCGTTGAATTTATCTCGTTGAGCTGCTCAATTTGACTATAAGCATGTCACATTTGGTAACGATTAAGTCCGATATTGGGTATAAGTCCGATGAAAGTTTGACATCGGGTAGAAGTCTAATAAATAGTGTAAGTCCGACCTCGAGTAAAAATCTGGTGAAATGAAGAAGTCAAGTGTCATGTAAAAGTTTGATGAAAGTCCAGCGATAGGGAAAAGTCTGTGATGGGTGGATGTCCAGCGTAGGGTAGAAATTTTGTAATGGGTGGAAGTCTGGCGTCGAGTAGAAGTCTAATAACTAGATGAAGTCCGACTTTAGGTAGAAGTTTAACGAAAGTCCAGTGACAAAATGGAGTTCAACAACAAGTATAAGTTGGACGTTGGGTAAAAATTTGGTGATAGGTGGAATTCTGGCATTAGGTATAAATACTGAAATGGGAAGAAGTCCAGCATCGGGTAGAAATCCGATGACGGGTAGAAGTATGAAATTGAGTAAAAGTTTGGCGATGAGCAATAGTGCAAAATCAGGTAAAAATTCAGAGACAGGGAAAAGCCCGACATTAACTAGAAGTCCATTGAAAGTATGGGGTCTAGCAAACCTCCGAAGATGGGAGGAACTCTGGCATTATATAGAAGTCTGATGACGGGAGGAAATTCATCGATGGAAAGAAGTCCAATGAAATGTGAAAGTTTAGCATCAAGTTGAAGTCCAATGAAAGTTCGATAATGGATTGAAGTCTGATGAATGTCCGGTTACAGACTAAAGTCCGAAGATGGGTGGAAACTCAACATATGTTAGAAATTCAGTGATTGGCAGAAGTCTGAGAAAGGGAGGAAATCTGACATTAGTTAGAAATTCGTCAATGGGTAGAAGTCCGGCATCGGGTAGAAATTTTACTACGAGTAGAAGTCTGGTGTTTGGTAAAAATATGGCGACGGGTGGATGTCCGACATAAGGTAGAAGTCCGACGAAAGTTTGGCAATGGGAACAAGTCTAATGACAGGAGGAAGTCTGACATCGGGTAAAAATTCGACGCTGGGAAGAAGTTTATTGTCGTTGAGTGGCTAGGTGGTAGTTAAGGAGGATTATGTGGCAAGAGATCTATTTCTTCTTTTCCTTCTCTTTCCTCTCTTCTTCCTTGGCCCCCTTTTCTCCTTCCCCTTCCAAGAGGAGTGAGGGGGTTATTTATAGTTTTCTAAAAGTGTCATGTCTAGTAAATAAGAGGGAGATCAATGGGAATTTGGAGTAGTTTGCATGTACGACCGATGTTGATTCTCTTGTCTGTGGTCTGTTCGTTGGGCATTTGAATGTCTTTATGATATAAAAATTTTGTGATCTTAATCTCGTTGAATTTATCTCGTTGAGCTGCTCAATTTGACTATAAGCATGTCACATTTGGTAACGATTTGCTAATCCAGATTACGGTTTGAACCTTCCAAAGATGCTTTTAGTCTTCAATTTGAACCCATTTCTTCTTGGATTGAGTCGAATTTGGTGTGTTTGGGTTCGTACTTCTAAAACATTCAATTAACTATAAGTTTATTAAAGTCAGAGATTAGATGGTCTCCGACTTAATTTTAAAAGTTTCCAACTTGATTTTGCCTCAAGATTTGTACCCGATCAAGATATGTTTTTGATAATAAACTAGTTGCCCCCTATTTTCGGATGTCGAAATTTCAGATGTCTGAAAATATATATCACTCTTAAAAAGAAAGTAGAGCTTTTGAAACTGTAGGAGATGTAGGAGAATAGAAAAATTCATTTTTTATAAGTAAATATCTTGGAAAACCAAACTTGAAACATAATTTATCTTTAATTTGGAATAGACATATAATATCTTATTTATTGAAATATCCTCAAAAGCACCAGACGTCTTACAAGTTTGCTTGGCAAAATTTTATCTGTGTAGTAAAATATCTTTTAAGATGACGAGTCCTATTTTTCTTTAAATGTCTACGATTTCAGTAATTTTTTTTAAACCGCCTAAATTTTTTATTTTTTAGATAGCCATGTGAGACGATGAACTTTTATTGTGTGCGGAGTGCGGACGTAGCTCTGTGTGTGCAAACAAATAGTTTCACGCCACGTGGAGCCCACCTTGACCCCACCGACTTGAAGAGAACGTGTGCTCTGTTTACCCGATAACCCGATAACATGAACCATCCGAATTACTTGAAAAAATGCGCGGTTAAAGCTAGGGCTATATTTGCTGGCGCGGTTTTTTTACCTCAGTTAAAAATTTTTTCTTGTAACACCTAAAACCTCAGAAAGCAGGAGAAGAGCGTAAGGTCTGAGGTTCGAGTTATAAGGTCTGAAGATGGATACTGTGCCAAAAGAGATGAACGACTGGTTGGAGATGGAAGGTTTTATGCAAGAGTCACAACTTAGAGGTGGAGATGGTTTGCAACAGAATACCCAACCAAACTTTGATATATTATCGGTAAATATGATATGAAAGCCGTGACTGTTCGAAAGCTAGTTTTAAGAAGGGCCTTGACCTGAATGCCAAATCGAAATACAGGAAATCCAATACTAGGACTGGGTGTCCCGCGATGATTAGATTTTCAGTTGATCAAGATGGGGAATGGAAGGTTAATAAATGTGTTGAGAACCACAACCAAGAGTTGGCAAGGCCTGAAGATCAACATTTATTGAGATCATGTAGGAGTATTACCGAAGAGAGAGCATTCATTCTTAAATCTATGACTGATGCTGGGATTAGAACCATTGATGCATTCACATACTTAGCTGATGAAGTTGGTGGGAGGGAGCATGTAGGTTTTTTAAGAAGAGATGCATATAACTTTGTTCTGAGAAACAGAAGATGCAAGATTGAGACTGGGGATACCAATTCCCTAATTGAAATTTTTAAAAACCGCGCAAACAGTGATAACATGTTCGTGTGGGAAGTCCAATATGATGAGGAGGATAGATTGATGAATTTTTTCTGAGCTGATGGTGTGGGAAGAATAGTCTACGACTGCTTTCGAGATGTTATAATTTTTGATACCAGCTATAGATTGAACAAATACAATCTAGCTTGTGCACCTTTTGTTGGAGTTAATAACCATTGGAAGAATGTTCTTTTGGGGGTAGCATTTCTGTCTGAAGAAACAGTAGAATCATTTACATGGCTGTTTAGAACATTCTTGAGAGTAATGGGTGGTAAACATCCCATTACAATTTTTACTGACCAGGATCAGGCAATGTCTCGGGCAATAGAAATTGCATTTCCTCAAACACGCCATAGGCTTTGCAAATGGCACATCACCAAGAAGCTTCCATCCAAGTTGCATTGTTACAACAACAACAACAAGGTTAGAGGGTTGATTTATAAATGTTTCAGCAAGTGTGATTCAGAGAAAGAGTTTGAAAGTACTTGGACTGAAATGCTGAATGAAGGGGACTTTCATAGCCATGAGTGGTTGAAAGAGCTCTACAAAATAAGGCACAAGTGGTCCACAGCATACAACAAGACTTATTTTAACCTTGGTATTCTTTCAACACATCGTAGTGAATCCACTAATAATGTGTGCCACAGAATTTCTAAGTCTACTAGAACCATCACTGAGTGTTTTTTGGAACTAGAGAAGGTGATGAAGACATGGCGTCGGAATGAAAAGGATGAAGACTTCAAATGTAGTCAGTCTGATGTTGTACCTTTAGTGAAGAGTAGTCCAATTCTTAGGCAGGCTGCGTATTTTTATTCGCGTAAATTGTATTCTTTCTTTGAGGAGGAGTTTTTATAAGGTGTGGGTAGAATGTGCATAGCTCATGCCTCAGCTAACTTATCCACCTTTTTTGTCAAAACTGTTGAGAACATTGATCAACCTCGCCACTAGACAGTTAATTTTGATGATGCGGAAGGTAGCATTGAATGCAGCTGTGGAAAATTCGGCATGATGGGGATACTATGTTCTCACTTCTTGAGAGTGATAAGGAAGATTGATATAATTAATATACCTCCGAAATATCTACTCAAGAGATGGTCAGGTGGAGCAAGAAAGGACCTTTACTCTGACAGGCGGTTGTCATCTATGGTAGCTACCGGAATCCCCTCGGATGGCATAGGAAGTATGATTTTTAGAAATTATTTTAGTAGTTTTGCATATCAAATTAGCACTAGAGGGCAAGGGAATACTGAAGCAGAACAGTACATGATTGATGCAATTTCTGAGATTGCTGAGAATGTGGATCTGATATTAAATGCCAGCAAGGACTCAAACTTAGTTACGAATTTAAGCATGCGAACTAAAATAAAAGACCCTATAAATCGCAGACCCAAAGGAGTTTCAAATGCAAGGTTGAAGAGCCATTGAGAAAAAAGAAAGCCAAAGAAGAAGAAAGCTGAGGAACAACCAACACCTTCAACTCATCAGCCTACACCAGTGGAAACTAGTAGTCAAGTTTCTTTTGCAAATATACCAGAATACTTCACTTCAACTCATCAGCCTACCCCAGTGGAACCTAGAAGCCAAGTTTCTTTTGCAAATATTCCAGATTATTTTACTTCAACTCATCAGCCAACACATATGAAACCTATTAGTCATATTCCCTTTGCGAACATACCAGAATGCTTCACCGATGAGTGGATTCTTCGTCGACCAACCATTCAGCCAAACCTTGAATATTTAAACATGATGAATGGATTTATTGATGCTGAAAGGCTTGGTTAAATATTCAGAATTTCTCATTTGGGTAAATTTGATTTCTGTTGTTATTGTAATTGATTTCTTATTATAGAAACTTCGGCGTTTTTATCGGTACCGATCTTCTAAGTACCTGTCGGTACCGATCGGTATCGGTGGGTACCTTTATGTACCGGTCGGTTCCTCTCGGTACCGATCAGTACCGAGCAGTACAATGTCCTGGTGCTTCAACATAACATTATTATTGTGGGTTGTTATTTACTATTGATGCTGAAAGGTTTGGATAAATATTCAGAATTTCTCATTTGGGTTAATTTGATTTATGTTATTATTGTAATTGATTTCTTATTGTAGAAACTTCAGCGTTTTTATCGGTATCGATCTTCTAAGTACCTGTCGGTATCGATCGGTATCGGTGGGTACCTTTATGTACCGATCGGTACCTCTCGGTACCGATCAGTACCGAGCAGTACAATGTCCTGGTGCTTCAACGTAACATTATTGTTGTGGGTTGTTATTTACTATGTTTGTTGAAATTAAATTTGGCAGATGTATTGTTGAAGGTATTTAATATGGGTGGTTGTGCTATTAACTGTGGTAGTTGAAATTTAAAGATATATAAGTTTAGGAAGTCCATGTATTTTTTTTTATAGTTCTATCATGGTTTATAAACTTTGGTGTCTGGATGCCAAACTTCATCTCGGCTTGCCAATCAAGGAATTTCTCGAGCTTGGCACAATGAGAATGCATTACTGCGTGGATGTTGTTGCAGAATGTGAACTTGAACAGCAAGCTAGATGGAATGAAATATATATAGATGTTGTGTTCATACATGGCATGATCGTTGTGATAGTTTGCTTCAAGTGGCATAGAGGGAGGAGATTGCTATCGAGGAAAACAGATCAGGTCGGTTCTTAAATTCTATGGGGTGGAGAGCTGTCCAAAAGATTTTTTTTGCAAATCATCATCACCTAGCTAGTGTTCATTTCCTGCAGCAGCGTTATCATAAGCTAACTTGTAAAGGAAAATTAACAAGCTATGATTATGTGGTCAGACGAGCTTCTGATGTTGATAATGTAATTTTTTATCACCCGTGGGATCAACTAAAGATAGGTTTTTAAATGATTTGTATAAGCAATTATTAAATGAACGTGTTTGTGGTCGCAAAAGGAAGATGTTTTTGGATATCAAAGATTGGCAAGATTTATAATTTGAGCTAATGACAGAATTTGGATGTTGTCCTACACAAACGCAACTCCAACAACATGTTCGCTGTCTGGTTAAGAAGTAAAACACCTAAAATGTACTTACATATTTACCAAGTTGGAACGTTCTGTCTATTTATAATTTACAAGTGTAGCACTACTATCGTTTCAACGTGGAACATAATAACATAAATGCAAGTTCTGCTCTAAACTTAGGCATTTCAGCTTGCAAGTCCATTAGTAATTCCCATCTAACTGAGTTAGGTTGAATAACATTTTCCATATATTTGCAAACGAACATCCCACAGTCATAACTGTTGGTTTGTGTTAGAACTCCCTCGACTTCCTGAACTTTCCATGATCTGATATCAGTTTGAAAACAGCCCTGAGTTTCCTCGTGTAAGTGATTAATCAGTAATAATAGTTAAGTAAAAATAACGTTAATTCGACAATATGTATGTGTACAGCACAGTTAAAATGTATAGCACCCGACTAACCACTAGTGGAAGCACAGCCCGATGCATGGGGTTAGGTAACGAATCAAAATAATACCAAGTTGACTGCTTCAAATAAGCAACCATAAGAGTCCAATGATTATTATCATTTATTGGTATTAGAAGGAAGTTAGAAACAGTAACTGCATCTTTGTTAATGTGCGACACGTACTGCTTACTTTTCATCCATATTTCTTGGATCCCTATATGTGTATTCGGGTTAGGATAACTTTAAACATATTCAGTTATAGCGAGAAAAATAACACCATTACCCAATGCAGACTAGAAACATAAATAAATGGTTGATAAAGGCTAGTACGAAGTTTATTTTTCTCAGCCAGCAAACTAGCGAAGGCGTCGATGTGGTTGTTGTCCAGATATTGGTTTGTTAATAGTTCATCGATCTGACTTCTGAAATTCTAGATGTTTCCTGCAGTATAAATTGTATCTGACCTGCAAAATATAAACCGGTGTGTTACAATATGAATTATACCTACCAGTACCTATCGGTACCGACCAATACCGAGAGATACCTACCAGTACCGATCAGTACCTACCAGTACCGATCGGTACCTACCAGTACCGAGCTGTTACCAACCAGTACCGAGCAGGTACCTACCGGTGCCTGACATTATTTACATCTAATTGTCAGTGTTACATAATTACATATCAGTATATTTCTTAAGGCAAGCGTCGATAAACATCCTCATATTGTCACTTATCATTGGTCGCCCAGGATAATCAATTTTGGTTGGAGCTGGCCTTGGTCCGGGTTATTTTTGACTTTCAACTTCAATCAGAGCATTTGTAAGATCAATCTTAGATGGGGAGGGCCTAGCAGTAGCTTTTTTTAACACCTTCCTCTTATATTGACCCTTGGTGTATGGTGTCTTAATCTCTTTAGCTTTACGGTCAGCCCGACGTCTCACACGTTTGGCTATGCCTGAGCTGCTTGGTTCAGGTTTGGCAACATCATCCTTTATTGGCTGGGTGTCTTCAAACATACATTCGGCAATAACCTCTGCACACTCTACCTTCTTTATTTCATCAGTCATAGTCCTGGAGGAAGATTGAATATGCACAGCTGCAGTCGAGGAGTAGAAAGATGTTCAGGAGGTTTATGCAAGATGATCTCTTTGTTAGGAACTTTGTCAGGTGATATCTGTGGGGTCTGTGGGGGAGGATTTGCTAATAAAGCCCTCTCCTCAGTTGTAATAGCATCAAAAAAAGTTAATAAATGACCAGCATCAAGACCATCGAATAAACTAGATGCATCTACGTCGTTATAAACTACATCAGATCCCCAGCGGAGAAACCTTGGTCTTGACTTCGAATTCAATGGTTCGTGGACTGTATAATATTATAGAGACCATATCTGAACTCATACATAAGAATATCAACTTAAAATATATCTAACAATAATCAACATCATCAATTAATACAAAACAATTTAAATTCACTGCACTCACAATTATAATATGAACAAATCCATTAAAGTAACCGAGTGGCTGTCCTTTCTTCATCTTTTTTGCAGTGGCGTTAAAGTCAGCAACAAGGAATTCTCTGATTGAATCCGGCCAATTGTAAGATAAAAATTTGTCAACATTTCGAGCCACACTGATGATAGAGGCTGGTGTTCGGTAGTTGTGCAGAGGAAAAAATAGGTTTGACAACAAAAATATGATGAATTTCTTAAAAACATCAGGCATTGGTGTAGATTCATCTAAACTAATCACCTCTTTCCTAATATCATTGGCTGATTTACCCGTTATTCTAGCACTACCAATTTTAAAATTGTTGCCTCTGTTTGGTAATCCTAAAATCATAGCAACTTCATCGGTAGTGAATAGTAACTTCTGAGAAAGCATTGTTTCTTACTGTCCCAGCAGGACAACAACTTGTAAACCAACGGAACATTCTGTACTAAAAGTGGCATAAAAAGAAAATGATGCAGATTATATTGCTTCAAACTCTCAACCAGGTTCTCGCCAAATATTTCCACTAAATGATCACATACTTCTCTGAAGGTTGACGTTCTGCAACGGAAGCTAATCTTCGGCACATATCCCTACGTTATTGATTAGGATAAATTTAATTCCAGTCCAGTACATCTACGAACCGATCGGTACTGATCGGTACCAATCAGTACCTAGAGGTACCGACTGGTACCGAGAGGTACCGAGTAGTACCTAGAGGTACCGAGTGGTACCGAGCGAAACCAGGAAAAATAATACAAAACACTCGGTACGGCCGAGAGTCCAGGGAATGCGATAAAATAAAGAATAAACTCTAACAACAAACCCTAGATCTATAATAACTTATGGAAATTACAATGCTTACAGAAATATCCCAGCTTAATCTGGTAGGAACCGCTTGGTACACATTCGGATAACGCAGCAGTACCCACCGGTACCGAGCAGTATATTTTGTCACACAACTTAATGGGCAAATGTCATTCTCAACATCTCAACATCATTCAAACCAAACCCTAAAAGCTCAAAATTATCGAAAAATACATATAACTCAAGAAAAACAAACCTTGCCCTTGCCACGATGAAGCTCAGGAGGCTTAGCGTAGAAGATGAAGTTGCTTCGTTCGTGTGAAAGATGAATAATGGCCTGCAACTACTCCTTGTGGAAGATGGACTGTAGTCTACCAAATCGCCCAAAAAAGAAAGCAGGAAGCGACGTTTCGGATGTTCTCGAAGTCAATTTTTCAAGTAGTTCGGATGGTTCGTGTTATCGGGTTATCGGGTAAACAGAGCACACGTTCTCTTCAAGTCGGTGGGGTCAAGGTGGGCTCCCCGTGGCGCGAAACTATTTGTTTGCACACACAGAGCTACGTCCGCACTCTGCACACAATAAAAGTTTGTGAGACGATTCTGACAGCCTAGTGGCGAATTTTTTTATTTTTTTGCATGGGAGTTGAGTCATTCAAATTTTTTCAAAGAATTTGAATATTCTCAAAACT